TCTTGATCATGATTCTCAAAACTTGGCTCAAAAATCATCAAGATGCAAAAGTTTCTATTTTTGGACAGTTGAAAAAGTCAACTGAAATTGACCAGGGCATAACTTTCACATGGTTCATCAGAAAAATTCCATCCAAAGCTCATTTTGAAGAGAAAGACATTTCCTACAACTCATCTTCATACTTCAAGTCCAAGAAATGCTCTCACAAAAAGTTATCAATTTCAACATTATAGGTCATTTTCAAAAGTCAACAAAAAGGGACTTTAAGTCAAAGACCATAACTTGAGATTGGTAAATCAAAATGACATGGGACCAAAGACATTGTTTATAGGACTTCAAGACCTTTCTAAAATGTCCAAGAACATGAGCAAAGCTTAAAAATTGAGCAAGTTATGCATTGGAGAAGTTGGGAAATTTTTGTGAAATGGCCAAAATCATTTATCCTTGAAATCTCATTTTTGACAAAAGGGGCCCACTTTTTCCACTTGAATTAACTTGGCCATGCTTCCCACGTGTCCCACCTTTTATTTCAGATTTTTTTATTAATTTTTTCATTTTTATTGATTTTATTGGATTTAATTAATTTTAAATCTTTTAAAATCAAAAGAAATTCAAAAATTAATTTAAAAGGGAATATTTGGCCTTAACTAGCCTTGAAACATCATTATGTGCCTACCAAAATTCGTGCAAGGGAGTAAACAAGGCAAGAATTCAAAAATGAGTCAAAAAAGGAAGTTTTGTTATGGAGGTTTATGGAGGATTTTGGACTTGAATGCTATACATTAAGAGACCATAATTCCTTTTGATTCACATTACCTAATGCCTATACAAGGGATCAAAAACGAAATTGAGAGGAGGCTGCACCAGAACACAAGAAAATCACAACCTAAAAAGTCCCCAAAAATAAAAAAACACATTTGAACTTTTCAAGAAAAAAAGCAAAACTGTAAACCTACTTGCAGCACGTTTTAAGCCTCTATTCCAATCAAAAACACATTCCTTGCATTGCCAGGAATCTCCAGCAATCAAAATCAAGCCCAAACGCGCAAAGAAGCATCCCCACGACACCCCACGGTTTGTCCAAAATTTGAAAATCAAAACTCCATTTCCATGCCTTTTTAATTCATTTTAAATATTGCTATGCATTGCTGATGTTATTACCAAGCTTCCTGTATGCTTTAATTTGACTGTAAGGCCACAAAATGCAAATCACCATGGGAGACATCTAGGTTTTCCGAAGCTTTCAATTTGGGGTTTCTCACATACGCAAAAATTGGAACCTCAAACTGCCATGGTTGAATTGAGGAAGATGAGACGAATCCAATGGACCCCTCGCGCCTAATTTATGTCTAACGAGGAGCTAATCGCTTTTATTTGCAGGCTTGTGTTTTGGGGGGTTTAAAACCCCCGCTACATGTTTGTTATTTTGCAGAAAAGGTAGAAGACGATGGCGTGGCAACCGGGCATTAGACCATTCAAAATTCCGCGCGCGTTTTTTTTTAATTCCCAGGATTTATTTGCTTATCAATATAATATTAAGTGTTTATTGTTATGTCAATTGAAACAGCTGGCTCAGATGGCAACGCGTTAGTGGATATTCCCAGAAGGCACGAGTTCGAGTCCTGGTTCAGGCATTTTTTTCACCTTTTCCATAATTAACATGTTTCCTTTGTTTTTTCACCCTTTTTTATATTTTTAATCCTAATTTAATTTATATTCAAATAATTTTCTCATGCATTTAAAAACTCACAAAAAATATTTTCCTTTTTGCATTTTAATCAGAAAAATGTTTATTTAATTTTTGACATTAAAAATAATATTTTTGCATGCATATTTAATTAATTGTTAGATAATCATTAATTTGACTTTTATTTGCTTTTAGTTATCAAAATTGATCCAAAAAAACACCAAAAAATAATTACTCTATCATTAAATTAATTTAACTAACATTTTCATAAAAAACCCAAAAAAAAGAATATAATTAACACTTTCATTATTATTATCTTTATTTTGTAAATAAACCATAATTGAATTAGTTTTTTAATTAGGTCATTTTAACATTCTTTTTAATAATTAAAATAAATTTAGACTTAGGCTTTTCTTTTGACATTTTAATTTCTTTTTCTATTTTATTTCATAAAAAAACATAAAAAAACAAAAACATCAAAAAAATAAAAAATAAAATAACTTCTTTTCTTTAATCATTAATTAATTTAATAATTTCAATTCAATTCCTTAAAGGGTCCAACGCCCTCGCACTCGATTCTTATTTCTTTTCGCACATTTATTTTTATTTCTTTTGTAGATATAATGTATTTGCCCCAAAGCCTTGTAATAGATAATTAGGATATTTACCTTCCGCATTTTACTTATTCAAATCGGGTCTTTATTTAATTTGGCGATGTAGACCCGCGCCTTGTAATAACGTAGGACTTTTATTTTCCGCACTTTAAATTCCCGCACCTTTAACTATTAAACAATAACATGAAAGAATGAATGCCCAAAAATAAAATCGAAACGTAGATCACCAATGCATGACAAGACAAACAATAAACTGAAAATGACACACAATTCACACACCACCCCTAGGGTACGCCTCACTGTTGCCTTGCCCCTCGAAAGGTGATCGTCGAGTAGAGGATGTCTTAGTAAGTCCTCATGATCCGGGAACCTGGCATGAGGGTAGCTTCTAAGGTGTCTTCCCATTACTCTGGTGATCATCATGTCCCGAACCTCGAATTGACCCGAACACCTCCAACGATGGTGCTACCTACCTCTCAATGGTGGGATAGCACTATCTAAAGGACTCTTACACAGACGAATTCCATAGGGTAGGTAGATTCTCATAGATACTTGCTCTTTTCAAAAACAAACAAAATACTTTTCACACCTACACTTTCTAAAAGTTTTCAAACAAATTTTTCATACACTCTTGAGGACAGATACAAGAGTTACTTAGAGATTTTTCAAACGAAACTTTTTCAAACCCACTCACCTTGAAAAGCAAACAAACATTTTGAAAACACAATGAGCAAGTATCTAAGAGCCCATGGATAACCATGGATAGAAAGGGTGCTAACACCTTCCCTTTCTATAATCTACCTCCCGAACCGAGAGCAATCTCTATAAGGAATTTTTCTGTGCTTTTGTCCTTTCCATTTGGAGAAAATAAAAGACGGTGGCGACTCTTGCTTACCGCGACATTTCGCGAAACCAGCTAAAAACAGTCAGTTCCAGATCCACCGATCACAAGATGGATACGAAACTTCAAAGATCGACAACAAATGTTATCAAGATGTTGCAACGTCCTCAATTTTCCATTTATAACAATATGTAATTTTAATTTTCTGCATAACTAATTATATAATTTCTTTAAATTATGTTAAATAAATATTATGAATTATATTCAATAATGTTATTGATCTGCCCAGACATAAATTCACAAATACACATTCGAAAAATCTAACAAATGACTTCACATGTGCACATGTGAAATAAATCTATAAAATTACGTTAATAATGCGTTTGCATATACATTTACAAATTCTGAGAATATTTTAAATTTTTCGCAACAGATCTTAAAAAAGCTACTAGGTGTGAAAAGAAACTACATATATTTATTCAATAACTTGTTAAGTTGCATTGTAATAATCCACTAGATTTAAATAATTGTGTTCCAACTAAAATATTCATTTATGTCCCGATTAAATTTACATAATTATGTTTTGAGTAGAGATGATAAAACAGGCGACCCATCCTATTTAGATTTATTTCATTTAAATTTATTCAAAAATGATACGAAACAGAGCAAGACAATTTAAATGTCTTAAATCAAAAGTTAAACTTATTTCGTTTACTAACTTAAACATCCTAACTCAAAAAATTTATTCAAAAATGATGCAGAACAACTTAAACATCTTAATTCAAAAGTTAAACTTATTTTATTTACTAACAATTTATTCAAAAATGATGCAGAATAGGACGGAACAACTTAAACGTCTTAATTCAAAAGTTAAACTTGTTTCATTTACTAACTTAAATATCCTAACTCAAAAATTAAACTCAGTTTCGTTTACTAACGAATTAATAGATTATCAAAAACCGATCCTCAATTTTTTATTTTTTTATTAATTTAAATTTTTTTTAATTATTATTAAGAGATCGATAAAAGAAATTATTTAACAAGAATTAGTAAAACTTCTAACATCTCTTAAATTCAAAGAATTCAAAAAATAAAATAAATAAAAACTAATTACAATAAAAAAACTCAAAAATCAAAAAATATTAAAATAAATAAATAAATAATTTAAAATTTACATAAAATAAATAATAATAATTACACTACATTAAAACATCATAATACATAAAATTATAATATATTGTGGCTCGTATAAACTAATCAAATTCTTCTTTTTCCAATATATATATATATATATATATATATATATATATATATAAAAATTATAAAAGTTTATCAGTTTAATAACAATTCAATTATTATAATGAGAAAAATATTATTTTTATAATTAAAATTGTTTTTAAAAAATTTTATATTTAAAATTGTTTTTTAAAACGCCCGCCCCGCCTCAACATGTTTTTTTAAAATTTTAAAAGAATTAAGTAGATGAACTTACTTAAATCTCAATCCAATCCTTCCAAAATAACAATCCGACCAACCTGGTTCATTTTGCCACCCTTAGTTCTAGACATATTTATCCCTTATCGCTCTATAGAAGCAACTCAAAAATACCTTTACATCCATAATAAAATAATATTACCAACTCAAAATAGAAGCTCGAAGAAACATATACATTAGTTCACCAGTAACATCACCCGTAGCTTTTACATTATCACAAACCCCAAAAAGAGCTACATTTACATCCTACATTAACGCATTATGAAATATAATAGTAACTATAAATATTCTAAACCGACCTACGGTTTTCTCCACAAAAAAACCTAACTATAAGTCTTATACCCTAGTTCTAAGAAAATAGAGGTTAATTAGGGTTAGGAGTTGGATTCAAAAGAGAGAAGAGTTTCTCGAGATCATCTTCAGGTGGATAAAAGTATCCATTTTTGGGAGCCACTTTTTTCTTTCTTCCAAATGAAAATGGCTTCTTCTTTGGTGGTAGAGGAGGAACCAACGCCGTATGTATCTGACACTCCCACCTCTTGGGCGTTGAACAACCACCGTTCATCTCTTTCACTACATCAATCCCACCACCGTTCATCTCGTGCGTTTAATAATAATATATTGCTTTTTATATGGAGCAGCAAACTGGAAGGTAACTAGTGAGTGAGGTAAAATAAACAATTTTATAGGTGAGTTGTGAATGTGATGTGACTTTGTGTCTGTGTCTGGCTTGTTCTGGAAGAAGCTGGGAAGTGTTTGTGGTTGTCGAGGTGACAAATAAGCACTGTTTCTCATATACGTGGCGTAAACTTAAGAGATACTTTCTTTGAGTCACGTTCTCAACTCATTCACCACCATTTAGAATTAGGGAATTCTCATTATATTTTATAGTATTTTTATACGGATTAATAATGATTTAATTATAACTTAATCTCTATAAAGCTTTATTTTGTATACTTAAGTTATTCTTTCATTTTCTTTTCAATGACAAATACACCACTTAAATTTAAACCTTATATTAACTTTAATAATAGAGGTTATGTTTTTACACGTTACTGCATATGTGGCCCTCAACACTGATCCTTATCAATATTATCATCCTATGATCTGAAAAGCTGGGTCACAAGAATATTCAGATGTGTCATAAATCTCTACCTTCACCTGCCCTATATGCCAAACTTATTCTTATATTTAAAACATTTTCAATATAGAATACGATTTTATTTTAAGATTATACTTTTAATGGTATATTTAGATTTTATTTTTTTAAAGCAATATATTAAAAATTAAAGCTGCTAAAAAAATTAAACAGGTTTTCAACAAACAGTTAAACAAAAACTATTTGAAGTTCAAATTGAACAAAATACGCGACAAAAATCGATTTTTCAAAAGGGATAATTGATTTTTCCAACTAAAAACAAAAATCTAAAATCTAAAACAAACGGTAGAAATTGATTTCTCAAAACTGGGTAATCGATTTCTTCTTCGAAACTTTGTTTTTTCAGATTTTCAAAAGTATTTTTTTAATAAGTTGTTTTTAACGAAACGATCTCAGAAACTTCCACAATACATTTGAATTATTAAGGACTTTCAATACATCACCTTAATTCAAATGCTCCAAGTTCTTCATGCCTAAACTCATCACAAGCTTCTCAAATACCACATTTGTTACACCTTTCGTTAACAAATTCGCAACTTGTTCTTCACTTCGACAGAATCCTAATCTCAGCTGGCATGCACACACCAGATCCCTCAAGTAATAAAATCTCATGTAAATATATTTTCTCCTCCAATGTGCAATGGGATTCATAGCAAGATTAATGGTTGAAACATTATCAACCAAGAGTGTGACAACTTTTTCAACCTTGTTGCTCAACTCTTCCAGTAGATTCACAAGCTACACAACTTGACACGCACACAGCGATGCAACGATATACTCGACCTCACAAGAAGAGAGTACCATCATTAGTTTCTTTTTAGAACACCAAGAGATTGAAGCTCCTCCGAACATAAAGACATAACTAGCTGTAGACTTTCAATCGTCTTTATCTCTGCACCAATTGGAACTCGTGTAACCGAGCAATTCACACTTTATGCCCGTATCAATTGCGTGAAAGAAAATTCCATAGCCAAGATTTCCTTTGACGTATCTTAGGATCCTCTTAACTGCTTCCAAGTGAGACACATTCGGTCTCTCCATGAATCTACTCGCAATACCGACACTAAACGCCAAATCCGGCTGCGTATTACACAAGTAACGTCACGATCTAATCAATCTTCTATATTGTGTTGGATCCACGTTCTTCTCATCATCAATTTTGGACAGCTGCAAACTTGCTTTAGCAAGTGTATTGACAACATTGGAATACTTCATATTATACCTTTTCAAAATCTCAAGAGCATACTTTCTTTGATGCATGAGCAGTCCTAATTTTGACTTGTGGAACTCTATGCCAAAAAGTAAGTCATGATTCCAAGATCACTCATTTCAAACTCCTCCATAATTTTACTCTTGAACTTAGAAATGCTCACTTCATTGCTGCTTGTGATCAACAAGTCATCGACATATAAGCAAAGTATGATCTTTGCTTGCATCCATTTTCACATAGATACCATGTTCGGAAATACATTTCTTGAAGCCAACATCAACTAGGAAATCATCAATGTGTTTGTTCCAAGCTCTAGGATCTTGTTTTAAACCATAAAGCACTTTCTTCAATTTGTAGACTCTTCCCTCTTGATTTATTACAACAACACCAGGGGATTGTTCTACATAAACGTCCTCTTCAAGTGAATCATTCAAAAATGTGGATTTCATATCCATTTGATAAATGACCAATTGTTTCTATTCGCAATACCAATAACCATTTGTATGGTTTCTATTCTAGCTATAGGTGCAAACACCTCATCATAGTTTATATCTTCTCTTTGCAAAAATATCTTCACAACTAGTTGAGCCTTATGCTTGACAATTCCGCCTTTTGGATTTTCCTTCACTTTATAGACACATCTCACTCCGATTGGCTTATTTTGTTCCGGTAAATAAACAAGCTCCCAAGTAATGTTTTTCTCAAGCGATTCCAACTCTTCTTTCACCACACTCACCCACTTTGGATCACTTAATGCCTCCTTCTTGCTAACGGGCTCAGATTTGATCATTATCGTAAAGTGAATGAGATCACCATCATCATTGATGTCATTATCATGGAATACTTCATAATCTCGGAGCCTCTGAGGTAATCCTCTTCGCCTAGTTGGTCGTCTACTAGATTCACCATTTTCGACTTCGATCGACTACTGTCCAGAACCTGTAAAATCTTGATTTTCTGCATTTTCATGTGGAAATCAATTTCCAGAATGTGGGGAGTCGATTTCCTTTGCAAAACCAGTTCCAGCAGCTTTATTATACAAAAATCGTGATGAAAATCGATTACCCTCATCCAGGAAATCGATTTCCACACCTGTCATGGTCTTTTTTCTACAGTCAAACAACTTTACCTCAACCACTACTACATCTCTACTTATTACAATCTTCTTGTTTTTCACATCAAACAACTTATAACCTCCGGTAGGATGATAACCAACAAGCAACATTATTTCACCCTTGTCATCCAACTTCTTTCAAAGCTGACCGAGAATATGTCGAAATGCTACCAAATTAAAAACTTTCAAATGACTTAAACTTGGTTTAAATTCAGACCATACCTATTATGAATTCACCTTATCTAGCTTCTTTGTAGGGAACCTATTCATCAAATAGATAAATGTAGAAACAACTTCTCCCCATAGTTCCTTCAGCAAGCCTTTTCCCTTAAACATGCTACGAACCATATTCATTATCAAACTATTTTTCCTCTCGGAAACACCATTTTATTAAGGTGTATAGGGTGGCAAAACCTACGCACTATACCCTCCTCGTCACAATAATTCCCAAACTCATTCGAGGTATACCCACCACCACCATCCGTTTTGAGAATTTTGATTTTGTGACCACTTTGCTTCTTAACCATGGACTTGAACTTCTTACACACATCAAATATCCCATCTTTCCTATTGATTAGGTATGTTCATAGTTTCCTACTACATCATCGATAAATGTGACAAAGTACCTATTACCATCATACAAGTCGACTTGCATTGGACCACACACATTGAAATACACCACATCAAGGTGATGTTTGATCCTATGACTTGCATCCTTGTTGAAACTATTCTTGTGTTGCTTCCCTTGAACAAACTCTTCACAAACCTCAGTTGGAACATTGGTTTTCGGTAACCTGATTACCATACCATTCCTTTGTAACGCGTCGAGGTCTCGAAAACTGAGATGTCCAAGACGATAATGCTACAACCACTCATCATGACTTTCCGGTTTAGAAAGACACCTATGCCATCATTTTAAACTCTATCTTGAAAGTATGATTGGAAGCCATAGGTGCTTTAAGGACTAAAACTCAATTTCGGTCTAAAACGCGTAAAATCTTATTTTCCATGTGAATCATACAACTCTTCTTAAGTATTTGGCCAATAATCAAGAGGATACATTTAATTCTAGGAATGTATATCACATATTTGATCAAGGAATGACCCCATCCCTTCTCATGATCAAAACATCAGCAACTCCCTCGGCCTCTAAAGTAGTGTCATCCGCAAATTTCACTTTATTCTTTGTGGCTTGATTGATTTTGACAAACCAATCCTTCTACCTGTCATATGTGTATAATAACCAGAATCCAAGTACCATGCATCACTATCTTGGACTCCATATCAAACAATTACCATTGTGTTTTCCGAACGCGTTTCTACAGCATTTTTCGAGTTGCTACCACTACTATCCAGCAACTTGCAGCTGATGTCCAACAGGTTATTACTATTATAATTCTCCTCTGTGATCATAACCAGAAGTGTGTTATCATCATCCACCTTCTATCGAGCAACCTTATTCTAATTGAAATATAGATAATTTAGAAAATACCTCTTCTGTGTCTGAGTCTGATTTAGGTTCTGATGAATCTGTGTCATATGATACTTTCGACATTAATGCTATATTGGATCGTTAATTCAAATTCCACTTCAGAAGATTCTGAGTCATCCCATGTTGCCATAAGACTTTTCTTTTTTTCTTTGAAAATTTCTTATTCGGCTTTTCTTTCTAAATTTTGAGGCAGTCACTTTTGTAGTAGTCTGGCTCTTTGCATTCGTAACAGACAACGTCTTTGTTGCTTGACTTTTTGTATCCAAAGGATGGTTCAGAGAGATTACCTGGTCTTTTAGGTTTTCTGAATTTCCTTCGTATGTGCTTCCATAGCTGATGAACTCTTTTGGAGAGAAGAGATAATTCATCTTCTTCTAATGAGGATCCACTAGAGATTTCTTCTTCTGCCTGAAAACCTTTAGCTTTATATTTTTTATTAGATTTAAAAGCAAAAGACTTACCTTTCTTCCGGGGCTCATCTTCGTCTAGTTCTATTTCGTGACTTCTCAAGGAGCTGGTTAGTTCCTCAAGTGATATAGTGTTCAGATGTTTGGCTAGCTTTAAGGCTGTGATCATAGGTCTCCACTTCTTAGGTAAGCTTCTGATGATTTTCTTTACATAAT